CACCTATTTTGGTTGACGCTGTGGCGCGGCCTAGGCTGGGGAGTCCTCCTGTGGGTGCGGTGGGTAGTCCAATCCCAAAGGCAGGGGAAAGTGCCCCGTCGAAGAGAAAGCCGAGACGGGGGAAGCACCCGCTGCTGAAGCCTGAAAGGGATGGGGCAGTGCACCGTGTTGCTGGGACGGATGCTGGGTCGGAGTCCAGGGGAAGAGAACAGCCGCAATCCGGCACCTTGCGCGGCAAGCGCAAATCAAAAAAGGCTGGGGGTGATGGAGCTGTGGTGCAGGGGGTGGTGCTGAAGGAACTGTTGCCCAAGGGGGACATTACTTGTACTACCACGATGGGTGGAGATATAGTGCAGCCCGGATGTGACAAGGATGGAAAATTGAACTCTCCCCATGCATCAAAGGGGGACTCGGATGGGTCAGGATCGGAGGATGAAGCTCTGCGCTTTGTGATCGAAAAAAGGGTCCCGCAGGCGGTATCCAAAAAGAAGGATTCCCCTTCCAAAGGCCGGGTTAGCCGAGTTGTTGAAGCTTTTGAGGCAGGATTGACCATTGCCGATAAGGTGGAGGAGCTTCCCGGGGATGGAGACAGTGGGATTCTTACTGGTAGGGGGAATAAGGACCTTGCCGGTCTAGAGACTGGGGTTCTAGATGAATATGGATCTAATATGATAACCCCGCCTCTGGGGATTCTGAAGAGGTCCCTAGAGGATGTGGAGGGAGAGGTGGGTGTCCCGCCTACCCCCAAGAAGCAATTTGTGGAGACAACTGATAAGAATGAGAAGGTGGAGGAAGCCAACCTGGAGTGGCCCCAGCTTGATAAATGAAGCTCCTCGCCTGGAATGTGAGAGGAATTGGACCATCCCTCACGTTCCAATCTGCTGTAGGTTTAGTTCGTTCGAATAAGCCAGATCTCGTGTTTTTCTCTGAAACACGATCGAGTCGGCGTGTTGTTTCCCGTCGTATGCGGGGTTTAGGTTTTGATGTTTCCCAATGTTTTTTTGTGGATGCTATTGATGCGTCTGGTGGGTTAGTTATAGCTTGGTCCCCCGGAGTTGATGCTTCGGTGATTTATCATTCCAATTTCTGTATTTGCTCCAAGATTAATGAAGTCAATTTTTCTTATATTGTGATTTGTGTTTATATTAGCTGTCGTTCTGATATTCGTGCTGGCCAGTTGGCCCACCTCCGTGAATTTTGCTCTTCTATTACACTTCCTTATGTGGTCATTGGCGATTTCAATACGACCCTTCATATGAGCGAAAAAGATGGTGGAAACCCATGGAATGCTAATCACTCGATCAGTCTGCGTGATTTTATCCAGGACCTGGGCCTGCATGATCCCGGCTTTCTGGGTGACCCTTTTACTTGGACTAACCGTCGAATGGGTAATGCTTACGTTCGGGAGCGGCTGGATAGGGCCCTTTGTTCCCAGACCTGGGTTGACCAGTTCCCTGAGACCTTGGTTAAGCATTTCACAGACCAAGGCTCTGACCATCGTGCGCTCCTCCTATCGGACAAGCCCTATGCTCGTAATAGTCATCCTCTGTTTTGATTTGATGCCCGTTGGGCGGACAACCCGGAGGTTCGAGCTATGGTTTGTTATGTTTGGAAGGAGGAGATTCAGGGAACGCCCATGTTCTGTCTTTGGGAACGTCTCAAGCGTCTCCGCCATCTGTTATATGACTGGAGTAGGGCTGGCACTACCTACTCTCTGCGGAACATCAAAACTCTCCAGAGTGAAATTGAGAGGATCAAAAGTGTCCAGCCTATTGACTGGGACGTGATTCATGATCTGGAGATGGAATTGAATCGCCAGTGGGAGGCGGAGGAGGTTTACTGGCAGCAAAAGTCGAGGGTCCACTGGTTGAAGAAGGGTGATCAAAATACAGCTTATTTTCATACTGTTACCAGAGTTAGGCGTAAAAAGAATTTTGTGGAAGGCCTTCGCAGTGAGAATGGGGATTGGGTAACTGAGGAGCATGGAAAGGCTCACATTGCAACATCGTTCTATCAGCATCTCTTCTCTTCGGAGAACCAGGTTCCTAACATGGCGGATCGGGTGGCAACTCTGCCAATTGATCGTAAGGTCACTCCGGAGATGAACGCTAGCCTAACGGCGGAAGTTCTCCCTAGTGAGGTTCGCCGAACGGTGTTTGCAATGGGGTCTAAGCAGGCGCCGGGTTCGGATGGATTCACTGGTAAATTCTTCAAAACCTTCTGGGACATTGTGGGTTCCTCGGTGGTAGATGCGGTTTGTTCGTTTTTTGCGACTAGCAGACTGCTCCGGAGTTTTAATCACACCTGGCTCACCTTAATCCCGAAGGTGGATACGGTGGAATCGATGCGTCAATTAAGGCCTATTAGCCTGTGCCAGTTTGTTTATAAAGTTATTACCAAAATCATGGCCGAAAGACTTGCTTGCTTCTTGCCGCAAATTGTCTCCGAGGGTCAGAATGCTTTTATCAGAGACCGGCAGATTGTTGAAAATATTCTCCTGGGACATGAGTTAATGCACTATTTGAAAATCATAACGCGTGGTAAGAAAGGTTACATGGCTCTAAAGGTTGACATGGAAAAGGCCTATGATAGAGTCGAATGGACTTTTCTTCTAGCAGTTTTGGAGAAAATGGGCTTTAATTCCACTTGGCGAGGATGGATTCATGAATGTCTGAGGTCGGCCTCCTTCTCTGTCCTCATGAATGGCACCCCCTCAGGATATTTCACGTCATCCAGAGGGCTTCGGCAAGGTGACCCGTTATCACCTCTCTTATTTGTGCTCTGCACTGAGGGTTTTGCGGCGCTCCTTCGGAAAGCTATTCTAGAGGACCGGTTGGGGGGGGGGGGTGAAAGTGGCCCCTCGTGCGCCCCGAATTTCTCATCTTTTCTTTGCTGATGATTCTTATCTTTTCCTGCGTGGCACTCTCCAGGAATGTGAGAGTTTGATTGAAGTACTGAATGAGTATGAGGAGTTGAGTGGCCAGCGGGTGAATTTGGAGAAATCGGCGGTTTGCTTCAGCCGAAATGTTCTGCGCACTGACCAGGAGTTCTTGGCCACGATTTTGGGTGTGGGAGCTGTAGGGGTTCAGGATAAATACCTGGGTCTTCCCACTTTGTTTGCGCGCTCCAAATTGGCCACGTTCAGGTATCTGGAGGAGAAGTTATTAGAGCGGTTGCAGGGCTGGAAACAGAGAACTTTATCCTGGGCAGCAAAGGAGACATTGATCAAGTCTATTGCTTTGGCTCTGCCACTGCATGTGATGTCATGCTTTAAATTGCCTCTCTCTTTGTGTCGCCTATTAGATAAACATGTTGCCCGCTTTTGGTGGGGCGTTACTGAGGATCATTTTCGTATCCGGTGGATGTCTTGGAGGAATATGTGTCGGAGTAAGCATGATGGGGGATTGGGATTTCGCCGCTTTGAGCAGTTTAATCAGGCGCTTCTAGCTAGGATTGGGTGGCGCCTTCTTACGGAGCCCCAGTCTCTTTTGGCTCAGGTTTACAAAGGCAAGTACTTCCCTACAGGCACGTTTCTTGAAGCACAGGCCCGGTCTCGCCCCTCGTGGGGATGGCAAAGTATCTTGTATGGGCGGGAGCTTCTTGAACAGGGGTTACGGTGGCAAGTTGGTGATGGTCGGTCTGCTTCCCTGCTCCATTCCAAGTGGATTCCTTCTCTTCAATTGGACCCTCCTCGTTTTAATCCTAGGGTTTTACCTGATGAGGGCTCCTTGACTGTTTCGGAGGTAATCCGTCAGGGGGAAGGGGTTTGGGATGACCAGAAACTGAGCCAATGGTTTGACCCACCAACCTGCGAGGCCATTCAATCTATACCTCTCCCAAGGCGGCCGGTAGATGATAGGCTAATCTGGCATGCCACTCCGGATGGAGTGTTCTCGGTCAAGTCTGCCTATCATTTGGCGGTTTCTCTGGATAAGCGTAGGGGGGGTGGAAATCGATGGTTAGTTGGATGGATAGAACTAGCTGGATTCGGGTGTGGGAAGCGAAAATTCCTCCTAAGTTGAAGGTCTTTCTTTGGCAAATCCTTAATCGGCTGCTGCCTACTACGGAGGCTCTTATTGAGAAACGGATTCCTGTTCACCCCAGGTGCCCTGTGTGCTGGGCGGAGTCGGAGACCATGGAGCACCTCTTCCTTGAGTGCCCAGTTGCTCGAGCCCTTTGGGATTATTCGGGGCTGGCACACTTAGGAGAAGGTTTTCCTCGTCATACGTTCCCTTTGTTCCTTAAACGGCTTTTGTCTGTGGTCCACCAACCTACGGTTGTTATAGGCGTGGTGGCTATCCTTTGGCGGATCTGGCGTTCGCGGAACTGGGTTGTCTTTGAGGGCAAGCAGTTCGGGATTCCGGCTCTTATGCGCCAATTTCACCAACAGTATGATGAGTGGGTCCGGCTTCCAATGGATAGGGCTCCTGCCGGTATCCAGAGGGGGCAGCTCCAGTTGGGTCAGGTTGGGGGGAATAGGGTGGTGTGCCGTTGGGATGGGGCGGTTAGAGTGGGTTCACACTCGGCTGGGGGTATAGTGCTTTTCGCTGCGGATGGTGCTGTTGTTTTGGCGAGGGGAGTGCAGTTTCCGAGTTTTGATGATCCCTTGGCTGTAGAGTTGGTTACGCTTCGTGACGCGGTTCTGTGGTGTCAGTCACTCGGCTTTATGGAGATGGTCTTTGAAGGAGATGCGAAAGTTATCATTGAGAAGGTTAATCAGGCGGATGCGCGGGATAGTCGGTTTGGAGCAGTCTTGGAGGAGCTCATCCAGCTGTTTAGCGACACTCCTGGGTTTAGTGTTAGATTTGTAGGTCGGCATAACAATAGGGTAGCCCATTCGGTGGCTAGGAAAGCCCTCTCTTTGTATCCGGCTATGAGTCGTGCGTTTGATTTCCGGACCTGGCTGTTTTCCAGGGTGTAACTATGTTTTTTGATCAATATATGATTATCTTTTGTAAAAAAAAAAAAAAAAAACAAACGAACGCGGAAGCAGAGAGAGAGAGTGACTTGCCCGAAGGCTGTTATCTCTGCAGTCACTCAATTCAATTCAACGGCCTCATCATCACATTCTTGGCTGCTTCTTCTTCCTCTCCATTCCTTTCCTTCTACCTGCTACTCGTCCGATCGCTCGCCCAATTTCTCCGTCTAGCTCCCTCGTGCGTCTCTCTCTGCTCTGATCGCTGAGTTACGCCACGCGCTATCCTCTCCGCCGTGCTACCAGGCCGCCGTTGGTAGTTTCGGGTGGCGTGCTTCTTGCTTTGCTTTAATCACCCCGGCGGCACTAGGTTCGATCCTTTTCTGTGAAACCTAGCTGGAAAGAGTGCGGGAAGGCTTAGAGGAGTAATTGAAACGATGGCCGATTTTTTCACTTCAAAGCATCCCGCCGCCGCCGCCGCATGTTTCGAGCTATTCTTTGCTACCGTCACGGATGCCGGAGCAGATTCCGCTTACTTCTAACTGTACGCCTCTATTCTTCTCTGTCTCACTTTCGTGTTTCGTTTCGTTTACGTGTGCTGTTAGATTAGTATAGCTTTCTTGTTGTTACCGTTACGAAAGACTAAAGAGGGAAAGAAAGGCTAATATAGAAACCGTTTGGGAATGGAAGAGCTGGATTGAAATTTGATATGCTTGGAATATGGGGGTGTTCTTGATGTGGATGATAAGTTAGATCGTTTGAGAAACAGCCATTGATGTGGGTGAATAAGTTGAGGGTTTTTGCGAACAAGTAGGGAACAACGGGATAAGGAGAAGTATGCATGGTGGTTAACAAATAGGGATTGAGGGAAGAGAACCCTTTCCTTGCCTTTCTCCTTCTTTCTGTCTCTCTTCTCTCGCAGGTCGTTTTCAATATGCAGAAATAAAGGTCGTCATCAGTGGGTGTGGGTTGGCATCCTCATCATCATCCACTCCTTCATTATTATTAATTGGTTTCTTTTGGTAGCCTTATCTGAACTGATCGATTACTGTATCCCTCTCGTGCTAATTCCATGGGATGCCCTATGTTATGTTGTTCATATCCCTTTTTAAATTGTATCTTCTCATTTGAGTTATCTTGCATCTGAGAAAAGAAAATGTATCTCTATTCCATGTTCACTGGTCTATTTTCTAACAAGAGCTAGGAAAGGCGTATATTTGCTACGACACATCTGCTTCATTTTTCTTTTCTGTTGGGATTTTTCTCTGATGTTAGAATTGTGGACTTTTTGTCACATGGGTGCTCTGATAAGTGATGGTGATATGTGGAATGCTCGGTGTTGATTCCTAGTTTTTAAAACCTTTTCCGTCATTCATGTCATTTGCTCACCAGTTGGACGATGGTAACCCACTTGGCCATTGTCTCATAAAATAATACAACCATTACCAAATTAGGTTGCATTTGTCATTACTAAAGTGAAATTGATGGTTTCTGAGCTACTTTCTGGTCTGGAAAGCTTCTGTCGTTACTTCATTCGTCAGCCGTCCTTTTTCTTCACAATATAAGCAAGTGGCCTTCTGTACCTTGATGTGTATGGATCTCCGGCAATCATTCGTTTCTTCCTTAATTACCTGATTTTGCTTCATCTCTTTGATTAGAGAGTTTTGATTTAAATCATCATAATCATCGTAGTCGTCCTCCTCATTCGCTGTTCCTGGTTTCTTGGAAGCGAATTCCTATAGCTTGAAACCCTTGAATCAATCTTTCCCTTCACTAGTCCACTAGTGGCTTCCTTAATCTCTCTAGTGGTCCTGCCATTCATGATGCTCAATATTTTCTTAAGTCTTCATCTTCTTCCTGTCTATGAATGTATGGTATATTGTCTCTCTCATCTTCCCTGATTTGCCGGTTCCACAGTCAGTTTGTTGTTTGAAGCAATCCACCTCTCCTTAAAACATAAAAGAGGAGTTGCCAGAGCAAGAATATGTTGGCTAACTCATCTCTGAGTTGTACTGCAACAACCATGTCAGCAGTTCCCTGTGCTCCTCGTGCTTGCAGGTGATTGTCTTATCATCCTTCTTTGTACTCTGCAGTTTTATAGTTATTGTTAATATTGTATCATGCTTGTCGCAGTGCTAGTTTTTGGACCTGTTATTATAAATTAAATTTAGAGGTGAAAGATGGATTTTGTGGTGGTTAAACACCAGATATCCGTTTTATTCTTTACACGGTGATCATCAGGTATGATCATGAACGACTTGGGATGCCGAGGAGGAGGACCCTTTTCCCTTGGATTAGAAATGTGACTGCTATTGTTTCAGCTTCAGCTTCCACTGTTTCACCCAATCAGATGACCAGGGGCTCAACCCACCTCAAAATGTATCAGGAGGTTGATTTGTACCCCATTTAACATGCATCTTAGCTTACCCCATTAATTTCCTTTTTCACACTCATCTCATATTTTGCCTTCCCTACCCTAATTCGAATATAACACGCCCATTTGTCCCGTGGGACTTCCTATTCATAGAATCCTCTGTCCTGCTCTGGCTAATCTTGTATTTCTTGGTTTGAATCCAATTGCTAGGTTGCCAAATCTGCGAGGCAAAAGTTCACCCAAGAAATTTCGTTCCAGTCGAAGGACAAAGACATTTCTCTTGCAAGGGTATAATAATATTCTTTAAATAATCTACTGAAATTTTCAGTTTTTTATGTGGCATTTCTAGCGTGACATGTTCATCACAGCCGTAGGATGTTTGTTTTTTGTTCTTTGCTTCTTTCTGTGTCTCTCTCCTTGTGTTTACTGTTTCTGCGTGTATTATTTCCCATATACACAATTGCCCAAGGTGATTGCTAGAAGTCCATTCTTTGAAGTATAAGTAGTTGAAAGATAAGTTTTATAAGTAAAGTACTTTGCTTTCTTCGAACAAAGTTGCTACACGCTATCAGAAGATTCTAATCCTTTGGTTGGCCAAATTGATACGTGTAGGCTCTGCTGTATATTGCTGCAGAGGATGAGGCCTTCATTTCTTTCAATCAAGAGGTGGATGCTCGTTCACTGCTCAAAGAAAGGAAAAATGTTTCGGTGCCACCCCATCCTCAGGATTGGGATAACGTGGAGCAGATGCCATTATCTGGGAAAACAATAACTGGATGGATTGGGGAGTTGGATATGATTGCCAAAGAAGTTGAGGCGGAGCTAGTTTCAAGAGAAATAGGCTGCCATCTGGCTGAAGTTCTGGATGCAATAAACTTGGTTCTTTTTGAATTCAAAGGCTTCAAGAGGTCATCTGTTACAGATTCTATGTGTTCATACTTGCACACGTTTCTGAGCACTGGCTCTGGTAACGGTAAATCTCTCACGTGTTAGATGTATTCATCTTATACAGGCTATTTGCATCCACTTATCCAGGCCATTGTTCAATCATCATTATTGTTCTCCATACTTTTAACTTTCTTTGTTTAGTCTAGTCTTAATTTGAGTGGCACAGTTCCCTGACTTAATCCTCTTCTTTCTGACAGCAATTTTGCTTAGCATAGTTTACATTGAAGTTTGTAAAAGACTCGGCATAACCATTGTGGGATCCCGGGTCGGGGAGGATTTTTTAATATGGCCCCAGACAGGGAATCCAGAGGTGCTTAAATCTTGTAACCTCATCTTTCCAATGTAGTTCCTGTGAAATATCAGTCACTCCAATGTTTTCAGAACAGTAATATTCCGTCTCATTGTGCTGGATAATGATCTTTCTGGGTTTCCTTGTCTATGTTTAGGAGCTTTTCAGGGTGACTGAAGGACACAGTATGTTTGCTATTGTTAATGGGAAGTGCGTAGAGGACCCTAGGTCAAGGGCATCGGATTTAACCAGCGGTTCTCTTTTAGGCCTTGAGATTGCTACAAACCGAGACATCGTCGGAATTGCTCTGGCAAATTTAATAGTACGTTCCAATCCTAGAATATGCATATTTGTTGCATTTGTTATGGCTTTGTTTGATATCTCTTTGCAACTTTGTTCAAATAGTTTCTTGTTCCATCTTGCTTTTTTTTTTTTTGGAACTTTTTTCATCTTGCTGGTGGAAAGTAAAAACACATTTTCTGATAATTTGTAGAGGCTCCACTGGAAACGCGCTTCAAGGTTGACTCGTGGATTGATGTTGACTTCTCCACTCAGACATGTTCAAACTACCAAGGAATTGGTTAGCAGTATCCACGGTTCCAATGTTCCTCTACTTCGTCCTCAAGATCTCAGGTTATATTCTAAATTTCTTTGTTAGACTCCAGAACTATTGTCCACGCTTTTGAAGCCACCAAATTCACTCTCCTTTTACTTAATTTCAGTAATTAACCCATGCAAAATAAATTTCGTTACCAAGGTGTAAGACTTGGGTAGTTTAATGATCAAGTTCTGATTACGCTTCATTTGCTACTGATCGCAGTTATCTGAAATCACTGAAATAAATTTCTGTTGCTGGCTGGTTGGGAAGAGTTCCTATTTATGATACCAATTTAACTAAAAAGATCATGGTCTGAGTTTAGGTTTTAAACCTTTTTAATGACATGAGTACTAATCTTTTCAAATGAAGGGTGACAAATATTAGTTTTTATCATTAGGTGCTACTTAAGAAATTCGAACTTATTGGTTAAACACTTGAAATGATAATAATTTGAGCTCATAGGTTGCAGGTTCAAATCTTACTTATGTTTATTTAGTTTTAGTTTAGTGGAACTTAAATAACTATTACAAAAATTAGAATGATAAAAGTGACATGGAAAATTTTGCAGCTTACTATATCCATTATGTTGATTAATATATATGTTTATTTAGTTTTAGTTTAGTGGAACTTAAATAACTATAACAAAAATTAGAATGATAAAAGTGACATGGAAAATTTTGCAGCTTACTATATCCATGTCAATCGATATTTAAGACAAGTCGTCTGAAGAGTTGTCGACAGATGATGCATGTTAATCTGATATGGGAGCAATTCTTGTTGACAGATTGGCAATAATGGCTTCAGAAAGGCTGTTGATTCTGCAGCCACATAATTGGTCATTGAGGAGAGACCATGGCATGATGTTGTACTACAAAAGGTAAAGCTGCGGGGTGATGAATGGTTTTAAAATTGTTATCATATGTTTTTCGCGAGTGTAGCAATGGTTTGGTTGGTTGATGGCAGGGAGTACGGAAAGGCAGTGCAAGAGCTGAGTATTTGCATGGCTTTTGCACCGGAGGAAGAAGCACAAGTGCTAGAACCTTTTGTTGAGAAACTGCACCTCTTACGGCTCGAGTCATCCTGGAAATCCTTGGGACATTCGGGTCAATTGACTGTTACTTAATAACCCCCAAGCCTCGTAAGCCTCTGAGGACGTCTGTTATGTGAATATGTGTAACTTTATGGTTAGGATGCATATATACCCCAGGAATGCTTCACAGCTACTGATCTGTTACTCTATGAAAGTCCAGAATGGTCTCAGACCTTTTTAAGGCTCCAGGTAACAAAGAATCCGATCCTCCACTGTAATTTGTTAGATTCACTGAAAATGAAGAGTGGGAGGCTTGACTCTTTCGGTGGTGTATGAGTTGGGACTATGGGTGGCAAATGCATTGGATTCATAGGTCTAACTTCTAAGTGACATTTAAACTTAGGATCATTGTGAAAATTTTATAAAGTCAAGGTATGCAAATGGCATTATAAAAATATTAGGTACTGAAATGTATTTTTTTGAAAGCTATTTCCTATCAAAATCAAAGTTTTGATATTAAATTGTAAAATTTAAATATAGGTATTAAAATGTAATTTTTCAATAATTCATGTGTCAAGATCATGTTTCCTTGAATTAAATTATTTGAATTCAGTGAATGGAATCATGGATTGGATTCCAATTGCGCCATTACTTGGAATCGTGATATTTCATGTTTCTGGGTTGTTTATATAGTTAGAGATTTAATGTAAACACTAGACCGAACGCTAAATTGTTAAATGAATCTTAATTAATAGTATTGAAATTTGTCAATCTTACATGTTGGAGTGCAATGGAGTTAGGGATAAGCGCGTGGGTGGATAATTTGTGGTTTGACATTGAGTCGTTTGCAAATAAACGTAATGGATGGGTGATTTATATGAGTGAACTGTGGATCAACAAATTTCCTACTCATGCTTATTGGGTGGGTGATGAGTGAGTCACCTAAATGACCTGTATTCCATCTTTACATGAAACAGTTGTTTCTTATATATACTATCGAATAGTCATCGTATTTCTTAACTAGCACTACACATTGACTTTTGACTTTGAAAGTAAAAAATGAAGAATATTTTCGGGCTACTACTATTGGTCACTATGTGGTGTAATGCACATTCGATATTCAAATGAAAATGATAAACTATTAATTGTGTCCAAGTCGCAAAAAAAAAAAATTAACATTCTCTACATAATTGATTGATTATGTAAGAAAGATTTGATACAAGTACTAGACATCTCAGCAGGAACAAATTGGATGGTGTCTAAATTGATGCAGTGTTGCCAATTTATGAGGAATTTATTGTAAATGTTAGTTGACTTGCATAATTACTAGTTGGAGAATTGCGTTTGTGGATTAACCCACAACCCAACCGCACTCATCAGCCACCAACACAACCCAATTCAAAAAAAGTGAGAGTGAATTACATATCACAAAGTACCAACTCGTTAGTAAACGAATGAGTCAATTTAACATCAAAACCCACCCATTGCCCACCTATAGAGTGACTAGTTATCGTGATGAACTATCGAATCCATTGTATGTTTATGGTGCTCCTCCAAATCCCAGTGTCGTCGGGATCAATTTTAATCCTAAGTTTATTTTGACATGACAAGAAACTAACCCAACATACTTAGAAATGTATATGCACATACAATGCTTGTGGCTCAAAATGGTTTTTTTTTTCTAAAACGAAACCCCAAAGGTGTTGTACATCCAAATGTGGTAGTCTGTATGAGGGATGAGGCAACTAAAAGTGAGTCCCATTTGGCAGGCGGGATGATTATTCTGAATTAAGATGGGGAGGTCTTCTTAGCTAATGGGGAGCCGTTTCCGGAAATTTATGACCCTATGGTTGTTGAGCTGCTTGTTCTCCGAGAGGCTATATTCTAGTGTCTAAGCTAGGAATTTGCGGAGATCAGGTTTAAAGGAGATCCTGAAGTGGTCATTGACAAGATCAATCGGGCTGATATGCGCAATAATCGGATTGGGGCCATTCTTGAGGAGGTCCTGCTTTGTTTCGCGAGTCACAACGGGCTTAGTGTGCGATTTGTAGGTCGGTGTAGCAATAGGGTAGCCCATTTGGTGGCTAGAAAGGCTCTTTCATTGTACCCGACTACGAGTCGTTTCTTTGATTATCTTGCATGGCTTAATTCTAGGATGCAATTGCCTATTTTTCTAATCACCATATATAATTATCTTTTGCAAAAAAAAAACCCGATTCCAATTTAACTAGTCCACAATGTTGTCACCAACGTACTTATGATTGGGTTTCCAGAAACAAGATAGTACACGTGTTAAACAGGTGTGGTATAACAACATACTTAAACATGACGTCATTATTATCCAAGAGTAGGAGATTCATAACATATACTTGGGTTCCTCAGTCGGAAAATACGATAGTGCTTGCTAGATCAGCATTCAGCCATTGTAGGTATCTAACATTGGAGGAGTTAGGTTGAAGTCAGGAGTAGGGGCTGCAACCTCCTTTCAAATTTGAAATGTAAGTAATATTACATGTAAAATTCGTAACATATTTAGGAACTAGAGTAGTCGGTAAGTGTTAGAAACCCTTCCATTATAGGTTTCTTTAATTATTTTTAGTAAGATAACTATTATTATGGTTAGTAGAGATTTATGGTTATTATTAGGGTTATATCTATATTTTCTATAAATATGTAATGTGAGTTTCATTATCAATCAATCAAAGAAAATATTAAGAATTTTTTTTATCCCTAATCTCTCCCGAATCCTCTCAAATCTCTTCCTCTCTTTCCCTAAAGGCCGTCGGCCATCTATCCAAATTCTCCCTAGTTCTGTTCTTCAATCCCCAATTCTCCTATTTAAATCCGTAATTTCTATCCCCGATTCCTAAATCTCTATTGTTACAAGTAATCGCGGGTGCCGAAGATCAGTCCCTAGAAAATGAGTTTCTAACAGTGGTATCAGAGCCCGGTTGCAGGCACCAATGTCAAAACTATGTCGATTTCTCATCAATTCTCGTCCATTCGCAGTGAGATGCAACAGGCGTTCGACGTCTTCATTGCCAAACAAAAGGAGAACCAAGAGCAGTTGCATATGAAGTTTCAATCTATCGAAGATCAACTGCAAACCAACGACGGCAACTTGAGAGCATGCCTCAAGAAACTCCAAACCGAGCTCTAACAAGGTGGGACAACACCACCAATGGTTGCCGCCGTGAAGACCAAAGAAAGGATCAGGGACACTGATGCGATTGATGATGTTGTGAGCCAAGAAGAAGGGGATTTTGTCGCCCCTGCCGTTGCAGGGAGGACGTCAACACCAAATTGAGTGGAGAATTGGCGATAACGGAAAATGCCTAACTCCAATGAAGAGGATACGGTGTCCAATGCGTCGGCCACCACGAATGGAGAGCTAACCTCGCCGGCCGCCGTGATCGACGAGATCCATACTGCCAGAATTCTCGAGTTCAACTTGACGTTGGCAAAGTTCCATAGCGAAGCTGACAAACGGGAAGAAATGTAGACAAAGATTTCATCGTCGAGGAACTATGCTTGATGAGTTTCACGGGCTCTAAGCATGGCCCACGGGCGGTTAGGAAGATTGGCCACATAGTGAGCGGTACCACCCACCCTACCGTACCACCTATAGGCGGCCTTCCGTCCTACAACCACTCAACAAGGAAGTGCAGTGATCTTGAATAGGAATCCTACAACGATCAGTAGAAACGCCATAAAAATACCACTAGATTGAGCACCGATGATTTCGTATCCGTTCAAAATTTTGGCTAATTGATCAAAGTGGGTAGCTCCATTAGACCCATAGATCATGGAACAAATAGGGTGGGTAAGGCAATGACAAAGAAGAGGCGGGAATCGAGCGTGTCAGCTCGCCATCGGGTGGGCATTTCATTGGCGGAGCTCGGTGTGCCAACAAACGATATGAAGAGGAAATCGAAGGAGGAGCAGGCGACGAAGGTGGAAGAACCAATGGCGGAGCGGATTTGGCGGGGTTCGTCGTCAACGAATTCGTTGGGGTTCGTCGCACACATGGCGCTGGGACCTACGGCAAAACCCGAGCTAGATAGGGACTTAGATGCTTTGAGCATATCTTTGAAGACCTTAAGTCGGAGCAAAAGGAAGAGCAATTCTCTTACTATTATTTCGTGAATTTCGAAAAAGAAGAGGAAGAATTGTTCGGCTATGGTGAACGTGACATGTGTCACGTGATTCGAGAAGAGTTGAAGAAAGTTGGAGTGGTCAAAGAAAACATCCTTCTTGAGAAGTAGCGCAACTGAAAACGAAGAAAGCTGAGGGTAAAGAAAGTGAAAGGTGACCGCAACCTTGAGGTCAAGGTGGCTTTCAAGAGGGGTGGTTTGTTAGAAACCCGTCGATTATGAGTTTCTCTAATTATTTTTAGTAGGAAAATTATTATTATGGTCAGTAGAGATTTAGTCAAATTAGGGTTATTATAATGGTCTTCCAGTTTTTTCCTATAAATATGTAATTTGGGTTTCATTATCAATCAATCAAGGAAAATATTAAGAAAATTTTCTATCCCTAATCTCTCCCAAATCTCGTCCTCTCTTTCCCTATATGTTGCCTGCCATCTATCCCAATTATCCCTAGTTCTGTTCTTCAATCCCTAATCCTCAATTCTCCTATCTAAATCCCTAATTTATATCCCCGATCTCTAATTTTCTATCGTTACGAGTAATCGCGTGTGTCTAAGATCAGTCCCTAGAAGCCGTAGAAAGTGGGTTGCTAATAATAAGACCTTAGCCCCTTATGCAGTTATTTATTGCCCATGACATGAGTAAGAGTTTGTATCCTCCTTTTTACCTAGAAATGAGGGTTCCTTACATAATAGACTCTCTCATCGTGAGGAGTAAGGTCATCTTGTGTGGCTAGCGGGTGTTAAAACATGATTTTCTTTGCTTGACATGATGTAATTTATACTTGCTTGACATAATTTTCCACACAATGGGAAGACATAAGACAACTTATTATAAACGAAACTTACATTTCCTTTTGTTAAAACTTAACTTCTTAGAAGTAATTCAATGTTATGTTTACCGAAATTTAGGAACTAACTTGATGGAAACGGTTGTATGTGCATAACTTAACAAAATAATGAATGGTCGTAGTATTTTAATTTAATGGCACAATGAAAATATTTGAACTTAAATTAATTAAACCACATAATTAAATAAAATAAAGATGAATTACTAACTAGCTCCCCTCCAACCACACCTTAATACTCGAGTTGATTGACTTGAACCACCCTTAAGTAGTTCAGTTGATCTGACTTAGCTCCTTGATCCGTATGTCGAAAATTTTTATGTCCTTCCCTATCGTACGTTTTAGGTGTAATTTAATTGGTGAAGTTGTGAATTATACTCAATGTGTTTTTTGTGTCTTGGTTTCTAATGTCCAGTTAGATAGTATTTGACTTATTGCTATCCTGTGTAAGTATGACATGTTTCCGGTATGATAGCATTTTTTTTATGAATCGTTGGATTTGCATTTCAT